TCAATCAACAATCTCCTCAGAGTGCTCACAAGGGACAAAGGTAGGGTCATACGCTTTGCACACGTGAATCTAATGAGTTTCAGATAATTTCAATTAAGAGACAAACGAACAAGTTAACATTATACTCAAGTTAGAGTTACTATAAATAAAAACTTATATGTGCTAATGTTTATAATTTAGTTTAGTGTTACTCACTACTTAACTCAAGTTTGTTATCAACCCTACACACTTCTGGTTAAATATATTATTAAAACAAATCATTGAAATGAAGTAAAATGGTGATGAATTCATGATCTTGTTAATAACCTAAAGATTTATTAAGATTGTGTTCTTCTGAGTAAGTTGTATATCACTCATGTTCTAGTCATAATTTACAAAATAGATTGGTAAGAGTGTAAATGTGTACCATCCTCGATTGTTTTTTCGTTATTTACATTATACTCACCGTAGCTTACATGGTTTTAAACAGTGTTAACGAAGAAAATGTAATTTTTGAAAAGAGCAAATAATTACTTGGTACGATTATTTACTATGCTAATGATTCACACATCCAATTTCCATCCTGATAAATGAGACTGTTTCCATGTTTACTAACTAAAGAAAGAAGCCCAAGCTTGTCTAGAAGCTTTATTCATGTTTGAGTAGTTTCAATTATATACTCATTACACTCACTTATCACTTGTTAAAGAATTCGTTATGCATGATAAATATCGCTTGGACGAAAAATCACAGTGAGTTAATTAATACCAATGAAAGTTAACTGATGGAAAATCAACTTAAATCAGTATGTGAAATTTAAGACTAATTTCTCTTACATATATTTTCCCTGGAGCTTTCACATCTCTGACGTTAATGTTCACATTCTCTATTTCCCGATTTGCTGACACTATGGTAATTAGTCAAGTTTTAATTTATGTCAAACCACATTATATTTAATTGCTTCTGTAAACTACTGACTTTTCAACAATTTTACGTCTCAGACTGACTTAAGATAATCATTAAAAACTAGTGGATGCATGAGAGTTTCTTCATCCTGCTCACTAGTAGTGGGCATCCGCGACCCCACGTAGGATGAAATGCAGGAACTTCATACACTGCCACGAGTACCTAACCTTTATACAACTGAGTTGACGTCCAGTGGCTTACATTTCTAAGTCAAATCAATTCATTAAATTGCACGACAGTCATCTAATGTCACTGATGGTTAGTCATATTTAAATATTTTGACTGTGACAACTATTTATCTGCATTTCTTGGGTATTTCATTGACACTCACTTTAGATCTCATTACAAGCTCAGTAGATTACGAAATCGTTTATAAGCAGATCAAAGTTCTATGCGGTTGGTTTTATTGCATCTCAAGATCGAGTTTTTGTCATTATTGATATTCACGTTTTGATTTTTTTTGTCGTTTTGGAGGATTACCGAATCATTTAAAAATGTCATTACCCTAACATAACTTCTTTTGTCTTCATTATCACTATAGTAACTATAACATCTGTTCTACTGTGCATTACCACTTTCTAACATACAAATACATCATGGAAAACCTTGAAGTACTGGATGGCCACATCGTCCTATTGCGGGACTCCTCAGCAATGCTCATCCACAATCCCGCATAGCGAGATTCAAACCAAAGAATTATCGACCTCGCGCGCGAACGCTTAACCTCTAGACCATTGGGCCAACCGGCATCCAACGGTGTTAATGTCTACCTTCAACTAAGCCAAGAAATTGAGCGACATATCCATCATTGTCTTCAGTGAGTTACTATCTCACAACAGACCCAGTTTAACTCCACTGGTTGCTGCTTCTCACTAGAACTCTTGGGTTTGAAGCTCACGAGGCGAGATCGTGGATGCCCACTTCTGAGTTCCACAATAGGACAAAACGGCCATCCAGCGCTTCCAGACTTTCCATGGTGGTCTAGCTTCAATTAACTCAAGATCTCAACTATGAAAATTACTATAATGTCCACAAAACCTCTTCTGATACTAATATAAATACACGTAAATCTTAATTAGGTTTATTCATACACGTTGTATCCTATTCCCCTCATTACTTTTGTTATTATTAATATTATCTTAATTATGTTCCGAACATTATTTAAAATTCACAAATAAAAGTAAATCAAAACATTTGTTAATAATTATATTACTAATTGTAAATTTACGTTGTATGCATTCGGTAAGAAACCGTTAAATAGAATTCATTTTATTCTTGTTGTTCTTAGTTTGTTTGAAAGCATCTTTATACAAAAAAAGATCCTGATGGAAATCTAGATAAATGGAATACACCCATTAAGACATTAAATAAGAAAGATTAATTCAGCGATGAGTTCTCTTTTCGGCGAATTCATTTTCAAAGCTGTACAATTACAAATATACATATACTTATTTTAAAGGATGATAATCTAGATTAATCATCAGTTTAATGGAATAATATATTGATATCAGATGGAATTTTATAGCAAACACAAATAGTGGGATACAATTACATCCAATTGATGAATCTAAAATAGCATGACACGTCATTTTTTCTTAGATTTCATTTTCAGTTGCAATGTAAAATTATGATCAAATCTATGTAGTAATTGACCGAAAATTCCCAATTTAAACATAAATAAAATATGAAGTTTAGCAAAGGGAATTTATTACACATCTATGATATTTAATTATTGTAACAAAAACATTTTACTGACTGAAACATGAGTCAATTGAAGCTAGACCACTATGGAAAACTTGGGACCACTGAACGGCCGTTTCGTCCTAGTATGAGACTCCTGGGCAGTGCGCATCCACGATCCCGCACCCCACGAGCTTCGAACCCAAGAGCTACCAGTCTCGCGCCAGGCGCTTAATCAACTAGACCACTGAGCCGGCATCCAACGGTGTTAAGCCGTTACCAGTGGAGTTCAACGAGGTCTGCTGCGAGGTATCAACTCACTGAAGACAATGGTGTACGGTGGCGCAACTTCGTGGATTGGTTGAAGTTAGACATCAATACTGTTGGATACCGGCTTAGTGGTCTAGAGGTTAAGCCTTTGCGCGCAAGACCGAAGGTCCTCGGTTCGAGTTACGAGAGCGGGATCGTGGATACGCACTGCTGAGGAGTCCAGTACTAGAACGAAACTGTCGTCCAGTGCTTCCAGGTTTCCCGTGATTGTTTAGCTTTAATCAACTTATGAATTAAACTAATAAATTACTACAGTCTCCACAAAATCCCCTTTCTGATATTTTGTGAAGTTTAAGAAAATGGATAACAAATTTACCTGTAAATGCTAATGACTAAAATTCTCCTCATTCTTGTATAGATACATGTACATATATCTTAGTAGATAGAATATAAACTGACGGATTACGAGTGATGTGAAAAGTTTAATTAAGGACAAGACGTATAATCCGTTAATGTTATTTTTTATTCGATTACAATGACAAGTATGGGAATTAAGCCAAAACCTGAAAAAATAAACGTGTTAAGATAATAACAATAAAAACCAAGTAATAAGAAGCATGTGAGAAATTAAAATAAAAGTTATTAGCTTAAGGTATCGAACGTGTTGCGAATAATCAATTTAAGATTATGCTTAATGAAGAAGAGTTAACTAGGGAGAGAATGAAAAATGATAGTAATAAAGGGTTTGAAGAAGTTATATTATAGTAAGTTGCATTTTCTCTGGCCGAAAAGATGAGACGAAGGTATTACAAAAAAAGTCCTTCGGAATGTTCACTTTTCGCAAGAAAAAAAGTGAAGTCCAATTCGTGTCGCGTATGAGACAGTTATCCACCTCAGACAATGGATGAAGGGTTGCGTAATTTCATGGATTGTTTGAAGTCAGACATTAACACCGTTGGAGGCAGGCCCAATGGTATAAAATTTAAGCGTTCGAAGGTCTTTGCTCCAGTTCTCTCAAGTTTTCAATGGTGGTCTGGCTTAGATTGACATATGAATTCAATTGTTATTATTATTACAATATCCATAAGTCCTTTTACTGAAAATACTTATTCGCTATATTTGCTTTTATTAAATGTTTGGATAAGGATTTCCGCTTTACTAAATGAGAATTATTCACATAAATCTATATAAATAAAAGCCAAATTAAGTCAGTCATATTCCCAAAAACTGGCTTCATGATTAATACATTTTGATGGGAATAATGTTAAACACCGGAAAAAACTAAGCACCAAAGCTAACAGGCTTTAGATCTAAATCAAGAGATATTATATCCAATTATAGAATAAGTTATAAGTTGACATAATCTTGAATAAACTTAATTACAATTCAATGAATCTGTATTATCTAGTATTCATTCACTTCATCTTTACACTTTTTTTATTAATTGATATCACGTTCATTAACATGTATGTCAGAGATAAAAAATTCAGTTTGGAAAGGACAGACGTGTGTTAGTTCTAACAATGATGGTCTCTCTTAATTGTTCCAACTTTCTTTTGAAGGAGTCAACGGATGGACCCTCAACCACATGCTGAGCTAATGAATTCCATTCGTTTATCATTCGATAAGAAATTTCCTAGTCAACTAACATGATAATAATTCATCATATGAATCCAATATAAAACTTATCACTTTACTTCCATCATTCAATATTAAACAAACAAACACAAACATTTTCAAGGCAAAAAAATAAACAAACAAACATAATTTATCACCAATTTTAATCTTATTTTTAAATTACCAATAATATTTTTCATAAACCTCAGACATCATTAAATTAATTTATTAGCCAATCAAATTAAAGAAATATCACTGTTTTTCTTCCCCTAATAATTTGATTGGATAATTCTTGTATATTGATTAATTCAACGACAAAGTTGATTGGTCAATTCGATAACATATTTCTGACCAATAAAAAATGAAAATTTATTATTATTGTTATTATTATTCATTGATGGTAGTAAAAAATTTCATAATTAACACGGAAATTGGATTTTATATTTAAAGTTTTGGCAGTTGGACATTTTCTTTTTTCTTTTTTTTTTAAATGTCAGAATATACAACTTCTACCAACTCACCATAATTTATGTAAATCAATTCATGTAATACAGAATATTAGGAAAATAGAATGAATCATTCATATAATCATAGTGATTTATTAACTATATCATCTATAACTATAAATAATGATAGTCGAATTGATTCAGAAACGCATACAATTACACAAATTTGTTTTTCATTAGCATTTTGTTCTACATTAATTCATCTAATATTTATATTATATTTTAAACGTATAAGAAAACTTTATGGTTTATGTATAATCATACATTGTTTATTTTATTCATGTTCATATTTAATGACATTAATTACATGTTCATTAAGTAAAAAAACCAATCTCATTCATATTATTTTTGGATATTTAGCCGATTATTGTATCTTGACAACTATAATCATGAATTTAAAATCATCATTAATGATTGTTTATTTATTATGGAATAGACGAGAAAATATGAATTGTTACCATGGCAACTATCAATTATGTGATTCTAGTAATGTATATTTAAATCATATTAAAAAATTATGTTATATAATGGGACATATAATGGTTATCATTTTACCTATATTATGTATTGTAATTAGTAGATTTTTATTTGAAACCAATAATTATATCAGTGAAGATCATGAAGAATTTGCTGTTATATCATGTAATTTAACACCAAATTATGGACATTTCTATATTTTCTTTCCAATATTATTTATATTATTATTATTACAATTTTCTTGTATTTTAATTACAATTAAATTACTTATTAGTCAACAACAAAATATTAATAATTATCATGATAATATTAAAACATTATGGAAAACAACAAATATAAGTGCACGTTTTTGGATTACATTAAAATTTACAATGACACATAGTTTGATATGGTTGATTGCATTTATAGCATTAATACAAGCGTCTACTTCTATTTGGCATGTATTCACATTATTATATAGTTTACAAGCTATTTATATTACTGTAAATTGTACATTTACACGTCCTGTATTAGATTTAATTTATCAATGGCGTGAAGAAAAAATTGATTATTATAAAAATGAACATAATCTATTATTGATTAATCATATTTTAAATACTAATCAACAAAATGATACAAAACAAGATCGAATCAAAAATATATTGATTAATTATTAAGCAAAATTTATATAAACATTGTTTATAGGCGACCTGCTTGAGCATCTGAACTACCTGTTCCTGCCCATCTAGATATTTCAACAAGTTATCTATTTTTGTTTGTTTTAATATATCATTATGTTTATTAATCGCATAACATATCTTGGTGTATTTCTGAAAAGTGAACAACTTTTCATTGTCAAAATTACAAAAAGCCCAATAAGAGATAATGTGGTCGCTGGCAATATGCAACAAAAAGAATATACATTTACTGGACTGCTAACATCTAACTGACGATCACTCAATATTTATCGTCAGGATCGACCAACAAGTAAGAAACGGAAATTTGTTGAAATATTTTGTACTGAGAATTCTATGTTGTACCAAAAATATAATATTGAATAAAGCTTACAATAATAATAATCATCATATATTTGTACATGTTAATACACAGTTGAATAAATAAAACAATATTATGTCAATTTATATTTACAATTAGTGAAGATCCTGTATTTGTTTTTATCATCATTTGGCTCATGTTATATATATATGAATTAATAAAGTATTAGATTTTCTTTTACCTTAACTGTAAGTAGTATGTTAAGGAGTTTTGTTAATTTATTCGTGATGATAAAAATTTACAACAAACTATTAAATATAAAATGTATTTGTAAAATCTCAGTGAAAGAAGTTGAAATAAATCCAAAGTTTTGCCTAGTAATCTGATCGAAGCTTTTCCATTAGGAATATATCCTTGAAAAAGCACTAGGATATGGTAATTTGATTTGAAACACTATGATGATTCGAAATAATCCGTTTTTTAGGGGAGGTAAGGGGAATTTCCTTGAAGTATGCCTTATTAGATAATTATATTTTTTTAAAAGTAATAATTTCTTAAACGAACTTAGCTTATATCAGATCTGTAATCAAGGAAATATATTCTTGAAAAAGCTTGAACCAGACTGCTAGATGAAACGTTGGATTTACTTCAAATTTATTCGTCAAGCTTTTACAAATATATTCTTCCTCATTTAATGTCTCATATTAACTCTGCGCCCAAATATTGTGAAACTATTGGATCAAATTTAGACAAAAGTTGATATTAAGTGTAGATTTAAAAATTTTTTTGCTTAATATTTTTATAATCATTTTGAAGTGATGTGAAATTATAAAGTTTAGGTATTGTATACCTGTTAGGACTCGAGAAACATAATGAATGTTAACTTTGGGATCCATTTGTGAACCAATGCTATACGTATATTTTTACCGTATAATTGTTAAATAACTAAACTATGCATTTTCATATTCCCTTATTATAAGCTTCATTTTGACCATAAACTATTATTATACGTTTTACCATTCTTGAGTTATACCCAGCATATTAATTACTACCTCCTTCATTCACAGCCACATCTGGCTAATTCTTGTACAAATGTTGTTTCATATTTTATTATTGGTACGTTGTGGTCTGTTTGATTGGTATATAAACTCAGTATGTTTGAAATATAATGATTCATATCACAGAGGCTGAGATTGGTGTTCTGGACATAACTGGCTGGGCTATGCAAGAAGCAGGACAAATCAGGACTCTAGGCTGCTCGCACGTGTTATGCGTCATTGATCCGATCGATAAGTCACTGCTCTTTAATCGGCGGTCTCAAGTCATAACAATACCTATTGAAAATTTCCTGATGAATAACTAATTCTAAGTGATATTATTTATAAGATGAAGACTTTTTCGATGAAAGAACCTCCACGATAACTGCAGCCAGTAATATCTTTGTGTATAAATAGAAAAATACGATTTTGTCTTCGGTATTATTGATTTAACCAATCATATGATTTTATACTGTCAGTTTTTAGATCTTCTCTGAATCACTTTGGCGTAGACCACTAACTGTGTTCTTTAAAGTTTATGCATCAAATAGTGTAAGGATTTATTCTTTGCTTTATAAAGTGATTTAATCACTAATCAATAAGTTGCAAAACAATTATTCTTGAAAAAGTCATAACATAAGCTTGTAGACAAGTATGTGAGTAATTACATATATACGACAGTTACCCTTGTGTAGAAGTATAGACAACCCACCAGCATTCTCCATCTAACTCTCTCCTCGACAACAGTTTCTAGTTTTTTCTAGTTGCTATTCATCTTTTTCGTGTCTACTTCCAATTCTCGACACTGTGTTCTTTATATATATAAACTATGAAATACTCATTTACGATCAGGTGGTTTAAAGTAGTCAGGAGTAAACCCGCAAACTAGATTTCATATTAGTTGGCACTCTTCATCAAGGCTTATCTACAATCTGAAAAGAACTGATTTTTCCTATGGGATTTGAATTCATAATAATTAGTTCTCATGAACCTTGAAAGTAATTATTTTACTATACTTCATTTATGAACTCCATATAACATATTTTGAATGATTAAAAGATATTCAATGGAGCAGGTTTCGTTTGTCACAAATTATTTATAGTGACTCTATAGATTTATCTTTTGACAGCTGAGTGTTCGAAATGACAAAAGGAAGGCTAGATATTGGCAGATAAGATATGGAAAGTTTTCTGTACTTACTGGTGTACAGCCTGTCAATACTAGAATTTGAAATTGTGCATGAAAATAAAGGCATTTAGATGTGATTATCATTTGTCTAAAGAACATTTCAAAAACAAATTAAAAGACTTTCTTTCAATATTGATCCATTTATTGACTTTTTTTAGACCGTATTGCCCTACTCAGAACCCCAAAACTTGTGATAGATAGATAATCGATGAAAGGGTAGAGGACATGATAATTTTGTCTGAAAACACTATGATGATTCGAAGGAATCTGTTTTTCTCCAGGATTTCCCTAAACTATGTCTCAAACGAACTCAGCTCGTGTCAGATCTGTGACTAAAGAAACCATTAACTAATTGGTAATTTCACAGTTCATACCACGAACTAACCGTACCTAGGTGATCATTAAAAATGGTTGTCTCATTCTAGTGTGAGACCCATCAATATTGTCCATTTACAACCTCATCAGGGATTTAACTCAAACATTCTCACAGTTCTGGTGAGAAGCACTGAGCAATCAAGTCCAACCACATACAGTGTGAGGCAGTTACCCACCAATGGTATTACAAAACGTTCACACAATGTTGCAGTTGCCTGAAACAGAAATGTAAATCATTTTATGTCAGCTCATTAATATGAAGACAAAATACTAACAGCGAGACATGAGGATCCTCAGTTTTGTCTCCACTAAAGTCATGGATACGCACTGCTATGTAGATGTATACAAGTAGAGACAGCTATTAAGCCGTTCTTGGCCTAACCGAGGTCAAGCTTTGATGTCAACTGTGAAATTTAACAATTTCCACAAATCAATGATACAAATTATAGTTCGTTTTAACATCGTACACAGTCCAAGCACATGTAATGGTTAAAATCCACAAGTTTTATTAATAATAATATTACGACTTCAGAATGTTAAAACGTAACTCAATTAATTCAATGTAAGTTTGCAAATTTATCTTCCTGGCATTTTATGTATATTAGTGATAGTACCTGGCTGTTCTGAAGTGACCAAGACAGAACAAGACTGTCTTATGTTTATCCTATGATTTCTGATTGTGTTATTAGTGCTGTACGACTTTCTCACGAATAACACTTAACATAAAAATGATAATGACATATGAATCTAAGAAGGACAACTAAAATAAAATACAAAGAAGTTGATTATGATAAACAAACATCAGTAAATGAAATATTCTCAAACAATCCTAATGCACACAATCAAGTTGAAAAATTTCAGTTATTATATATTTTCAAAGTTTAGTAATCTGTAACTAGTGGATATAAATTTAATTTTATTCGATAGAATATATATATTTTTAAATACTCAAACCCAAGTTACTTAAAGTCAAGATTTGTAATTGCGTGTTCCTTATTGAATCTATGGTCTGTTTATACTAAATGAGCTAGAAATGAACGGTTAATATTTGGTTTTTACTATTACCCTCACCTAATCACAATGGGAAATGCTTTTGAGCATGAAAATATAAATTCCTAAAACTTTTGTCAATCTAACTTACTCCACCAAATCAATCGAGAATAAATTTACAACTGAATTGAAAAGGTATGTTCTTAATTGTTTTTTTTTGGGGGGGGGGTACTGAATTAAAGAATAAAATAACTTGAATTGTTTGAACTAAGTTTAAAATTCTATGGTACATACAATCACATAAATTATTTAGATACAGACTTAAATTATTAAACATCAAATCTAGTTTTGATCTCCAAGGTATTGATTTCGGAGTTTGCATAAATTATTTAGACTAGATATTGGACAATGAAGAAGAAAACACCTTAAACTTATTTAATTAAATAGATGTAGAACCAATATTTTACAAAATTGTTTATGATTGACAAGAAAAACTCGTCCTGGATACTAAAATAAAATATGTGGAAATGGTGTATTGAATTTGATTTTTCAGAGAAAATAAATAAACCATAGATGAGTAAGCAAAGATGGATCATGGCTAGCAGTGGAATCCAAGACGCGTGTTTCGTCCTATTTCAGACTCGTCAGTTGGATGTACCTGCATCTCAGAGCTGATGTTCTCCCGGGAACTCGAACCCAGTACCGTTCGCTTCAAACACCATCACGATATTTATTCATGTTTAGAAATAGGTAAAATTACACAAAATAAATTAGGAACAATTAGATGTAATAGGATCTATCGCAATGCTTTGATTTTGTCTATCAACATCAATCAAGTGTGGTAAAACAGAGTTGCAGATTGGCTTTTTAAGTCTATTTTCAAACGACAAAAGGAACTACCCACTAGCATGTCGTCTAGGTTGTTTGATGATAGGTCAAGTATAAATCTCTCCACAGGAATGACTTGAACGATGAATACAAACGAATGGACTTATTCTTTGATTGAACAACTACAACTGTTTAATCAAAAAAGTATCAGACGGAGATCCTTTGCATGACCTTAACTAGTCTTTCATGTGGAACATTATTAATTTTATCTACATTTAGTTTGAATTATGGGAAGAGTGAATTTTTACGGAACCTGTTATATCCTAGCGAAGATTAGCTCACGAGTAACTTCTGAGACATTAACTGACTAATATTATATATAAATATTCTTATGGTATAACTATCCAGTAATTAGATTATGTATATCTATATTCCT